TGACAGTGCTGTGTTTTTATGTCATTGTCCTGTCTGCAGCTGGGTAGTTCAGACTCTGATTATCTAAGTGAAGGAATATATTTGATTACCATTGATGCAGCTGCTCCACACTGACAGTGAAAAGGTCAGAGACTAGCTGTGGGTGGCTTTCATGGTGTGCTTCTTGAGTTAAGTGAATTAGATGTAAAGCATTCTGATATAAGTCAATGCCAAAAAGGCATTAGTGCCTCCAAAAGTACTGCACTTCTGTGTATTTCCAAAAAAAAATTCAAATTTCAACGTGGTGCAGAATGTTTTGTTTGATTTACAGTCCCAGTAATTGGATGAGTGCACAATTTCCCATTTAAACATTTGCCTTGTGCTTTTATAAATAGGAAATACATTGACCCTTGATTACTGGTGACTAAGCTAATTTTTGTCATTGTGTTAATTGAGCTTAAGTATTTTGCCAGCTTCTTTTTGGCATAACACTGAACTTGTAACATTGTCCTTTATCCTCCCCAGCCTAACAGATGATGTTTATATCCAATGTTCGATATTGATTCTGCCTGATTGGAAATTCTTCGTCCATTTTAATAAATCATTTGTTCTGCAATATCTTCTAAGTTGTTAGAATTGCATAGAAAAGGTAAAGAAATGGGAAGAATATTGAATGGAATATTTGTTGGCCAGTAAAATAGAATGATACATATTGTACACTGCACTAATTTACGAATGTTCCATGTATGCCGTATCATTGGTACAATTCATTTACATTGGACAAAACTCTAAACTAAAATACAGTGTAGCCACTTCAGACTGGAATATTTGGGACAAAGTCATTCCTGGATTTTAAAATCTTCTGGATTGTAAAATTATGTTAGAATGCCTAATCATGTGTGTAAATATTTTCCCAACACATAAGTGATAAAATATTATAAAGCAGAATGAAACATAGAATATTTGGATGGATAAATCAATCTTCTATGTCTCAATTCTGAAAGAGGGGGTCAACTCAAATTTCTGGACAAGTGGTGTTTCCAAACAACAGATTTTCTGACTGGAGAGATAACAGTGTAACACAAACAAATATTACATGTTTGAACCTTTCGTTTCACAGGCAGCTTTTGCACAGCTCTCCAGCGTGCTTTGTAAATAGACTTCTATAACCATTTCTATCTTATTTATATTTTGTGCTTTATTTTCAAGAACAAAAGTGAGTGATTTTACTATAATTTATGAATTAATTTTGTCCTAAATTGTATTCTGTGAATCAATTGAGTTAGTGATATTGTATTCTTAATATTCATGTGGCATTTTATGTAGATAACAAGACAATACTCTGATTTTGCTTTTGCTTATTTATTGTGTAGATACTGTATTGCTATTGGCTCGTTACAGCCACCCCTAACAGTATGCATGAATAGAAATTAATGGTTAAGTTTAGAGAAATAAATTAACCTATTTCTGTGGTACAGCGCATTAAGTTGAACTACACTCTTCAGTAAGCCTTCAAATAAGTACGAATACAGTAGATTTTGATTTTGTTCATTGCTTTGCCTCTAGCTTATGTTTAATATAAATTTAGTTTTACCTCCATGCATTATAATGGAGAGATAAATTATTGGAGTTGTACTACCAGAGCTGATAGATGATTGATGGTTGGCATGGACATGATGGGCTGAAAGGTCTTTTTCCATGCTGTAATATTCTATGATTGCAGTGTTCACCATATTAAATGCATAATTTTGTGTATATGGTTAACGACCATGCATTTGTGTTCTTATTTTGCACCTTGCATGTGAGAACATGATAAACATCATCACATTTGTTTTACAGAAGGTCTCTTGATTCTGTGAGGCAAAACAAAGTACACCTAAAATTAATTTATCTTTAATACTTTAATTCTATCTGTTGTGGGTTTTCATTCTTCTGAGACATTGTATTTTAATCCTTTTGAACATTAATGATCTTTTCCTATATTTCAAGACACTGAGTTTGGCTGACGTATGCACCTCTAGTGGCACAGTCAGTAGTTTACTTAGTTAAACAGACCAAAATGTGTCTGGATTTGTGTATTGGGGGATAACTTTCCCACAGGGTTAGTTCTGATCGTAAGAATTAGTCTTGAAGTTCTCAAGCTATCGTCAGAAATTATTGGCCAGGATCAATCCTTGTCATCAAATAGACACGTGTTGCAGCTTGGATAAGCACACACATGAAGACTGATCAGTTGAATTACTTAGCAATGAACTATGTTTATTTTAAACGTACCTCAGCATAGACCCGCATGTTCAGGAGCAGAGAGAAGGAAATTCCAAAAAAAACAAAAAAAATTATGTAGTAGACAGCGAATGATTATAAATCTGTAAATCTAAGAAATATGAACCTGAAGGGAAGTCCATTTGCCTGCTCTTTTAGTGTCCTGTTTGTGAAATGAAAATGAATGTTAAAGCCACTTAAGAATTCACGGTAGAGATTACCAAATCAAAAGTCACTCAAGTAATGAGGCTTCCACAGTTATGCTCTTTGACTACATTTCACCTAACAAATTATTCTTTGGAACTGTCGGAAGCCCTTTTGTACGAATGCTATTAGGCTATTTGTCCTAGTACGGGAGGAGGAGGTCTTGCGAGTAAGTCGTAACTTAAATATGAACCATGGTTAGTTGAAAATTAGTTTTTGGTTAAAAATTAGTTTTTGCTACTATTGGACTTAGTTGGCTTCCATTGGGGTTACTACTGATTAATTAAGTCCTCAAATGCATGAACACTGCTGCCAAGAATATAAAGGGATCTTTTGGCTGCACTTTTACTGTCCTGTTATGCTGAGACTTGAATGTGCAGGTTGCATTTTCTAGTTGGTGAGATCTGAATCATTTACTCATGTAGTTATGTTTCCTATAACTACATGACTTGCTAGACCATTTCATAAGACACTATAGGTCAATAATGGCACATACAGGCGTAACCTCTTTAACTGAATGGCATTATGAACAAAGTTGGGTTTTTTGGATCATCTTGGTTTCAGTGTGATACATTATTTGTTTGTAATGACGATCCACAAGTTCCCAGAATTTCTGGATTTTGCACAAATTAGTTTGGTGTGACTTGAACTCGTAACTTTATTGTATTGCATGATCCTGCAGCTTTTGCCTCTGGAATCTCTTGTATTTTTAATATTTTTTATAGAGTTCCCAACCTTTTCCAGTTGGATCACACTATTTTTAGTCTTTTCTAATGTTAATTTAGTTGAGAAAAATAAGCGTTGCAGTTTTATTATCTGGATAAAAAGCTAATCATTATGGTCAGCTTTATCCTTCAAATGATTATTTTAATCGAAAGCATCATTGTAATCTAAATAAATCTATTCAAGTGGTATAGTTATGACGCACATGTTTACAGACACGTTTGTTTGAGGAGCACGTTTAATGGTTGGAACCATTATTGTTTTCAGTATTGTTGAGGTGTTATATTATTCTGAATATGCTATTAAACTTGTTTTTATCATGAGAATCATCAACTTGAAAAGATTTTCTAATTCCATGCATCTGTACAGAAAAGTTTCTCTACAGAAATACTTAAACAACTTAAGTAGAATAGAATCACCACGGTGTGGAAGCAGGCCATTCAGCCCGTCGAGTCTACACTGACTCCGAAGAGCATCCCAGCCAGACCCCATGTTTGTAACCCTGCATTTTCCATGGCTAATCCACCTAGCCTGCACATCCTTGGGCACTTTAGCATGACCAATCCACCTAACCTGCACATCTTTGGACTGTGGGAGGAAACTCTCACAGACATGGGGAGAATGTGCAAACTCTATACAGAAAGTCACCTGAGGGTGGAATTGAACCCAGGTCCTGGCACTGTGCAGCAGCAGCGCTAACCAGTGAGCCACCCTGCCGCCCTAAAATAAACCATTCATAATTTCTTATGTAATTAGATAACTTCATTAAAAACAAAATGATGAAAATCACTTTGGAAATCAACAAAATGGAAAATGTCTTCTTTAAAAGAGCAGGATACTTTATATAAAATGCACTGAATTCGTCAGGCATACAGGGAAGAATGAATATTTAGTGTCTGGATAAAATCAAATTGCATTGTTTTCCCCTTCAAACATAATGTAAAATAATGACACATAGAAGGAGAGTACAACATTTTGATTATTAGGGAGTAGCTTAAAATAGTTTGTCACTGTACTAATTATGAGGTGAAATTTTAGGATTACCTAGGAAATTTAGTTATCCTGTATGAAAAAAGGACTGGTTTATCATGAGGCATACAGCAGTTCACCTGCCTGATGAAAAGTACATGTCACTTCAGTTTGGCAGTGAAATCAGTCGGATATTGTAATTGGCTCTCAGAAGCAATATATATAGCCTGAAGGGATTTTACTGCATCAGCTTAGATTTAGCAATTTTATTCCCAGTCTTGTTATTTGAAAGGCTCTGAGAGTGATATTTATATCTAGGAACAATGACATGATGTAGAAAGCACCTAAATAAGCTATACAGTTAGATGAGTGTATGAATACTTGTCCTACAATAGATTAGCATTTACTTAGCAAAGGAACGAAGAATATTCATGGGGTTTCAGCATGACCTCTTACATTATTTTGGATACTGCTTGAGGGTTAAAATCATAAAAATAAAATTGAGTATGAAGTACACAATTCATTAAGCATTTCCTTGGGTATTCTTTTGTTTTCAAAGGCTTTTGAAAAGAATGAGACCATTGAAGAGTAAAGAGATGAAAATTAATGTTCATTTCTTTGTTGCAGCATTAAGCTTCGTTTGTTATAATAGAGTACGGATCCAGTACCCGCATCTAATTTTATTACGATATTTAAAGCTGCAGCAACCGTTTTCATTTATTTATCCAGTTTGACATTGGTTACGCAAGAAATGTCTTCAGATCTTAACATAAACTTAATTTTCTTGTTTTTCTATTCTGGCTTTTGTTGATTCTATGAAAAATATTTCCTTGTATTCAATATTGCTTTAATTTTTTTCTCAGATTGTTTGAAGGATCTTCACACAAGAAAGCTGAAAAGCTTAAAACTCTTTTTTGTTATTTCAGAAAAGTCACAGAAGAAAGTAAGTTCATACTACTTGGCATGAGTATTAATAGTTCTTCATTGAGCTTCTACAGTAAAGCAATTACGAAATCTAAAATATTTACGAATGGGCCATTTGAAATTCTATTATCAACCTGTAAAGCAGCATCAAATAAAGTAGACTTTACAAGTACCTGGTACCAACCATAATGTAGCATAGATTCACATTGTTGATTCTCCGCCTCTGAAACTTGGATCTTGACGATAATGTGAAGATTGCAAACAGAAGTCAGGTTTGTCTCCAGAGATGGGAAGGAAAAATAACACTCTGTTTCTCCTCACTCACCACAAGTAGTTACTTTCAAGTTAGTCAGAAATATCCTCACCCAAAAAGCACAGAGCGCAACTCTTTGATTTTATCAATTTGAAACAGTAGAAATTTTTTTTACAAAAAAGAAAAGCATGGGCTCATGGTAGTTTGAATACCTGGAGTACTGTGTTCACCTTTGGTCCCCTTACTTGAGGAGGGATGTGGTTGTATTGAAGGCAGTTCCAAAGAGTTTCACGAGACTGATTCCAGAGATGAGTGATTGGTCTTGTAAAGAGAGATTGAGCAGGTTAGGCCTATATTCTCGAGTTTAGAAGAATGAGAAGAGATCTAATTGAGATATATAAAATATACTAAAAAAGTTGATAAAGTAGATTTAGAAAAGATTCCCCTTATGGGACAATCTAAAACCACCCCTTAATATTCAACGGTGTTACCATCACTGAATCCCCACTGTCAGCATCCTGGGGGTTACCATTGACCAGAAGCTGAACTGGACTTCACATAAACACAGTGGCTACAAGAGCAGGTCAGAGGCTAGGTACACCATGGTGAATAACTCACCTCCTGACTCCCCAAAACCTATCTACAAGGCACAAGTCAGGAGTGTGATGGAATTCTCCCCACTTGTGTGAATGGGTGCAGCTCCAACAACACTCGAAGCTTGACACCATCTAGTACAAAGCAACTCTGTTGATAGGCACTACATCCATTTGCGTCCACTCTCCCCACCACCGATGCTTGGTGGCAGCAGTGTGAACTGTCTACAAGATGCACTGCAGAAGTTCACCAAAGATCCTCAGCACATTCCAAACCCACAACCACTTCCATCTAGAAGGACAAGGGCAGCAGATACATGGCTACGCCACCACTTGCAAGTACCCCTCCAAGCCACTTGACACTGACTTGGAAACGAATCACTGTACCTTCACTGTCACTGGGCCACAATCCTGGAATTCCCTCCCTCATAGCATTGTGGGCCAACCCACAGCAGGTGGATTGCAGCAGTTCATGAAGGCAGCCCACCACCACCTTCTCAAGGGCAACTAGGGATAGGTAATAAATGCTGGCCAGCCAGCGACACTGACATCCCACAAACGAATAAAAAAAACTAGGACAAGGGGTAACAGATTTAAAACAGGTGATGAAAAATTACTTCCTCAAATAGTCTTGAATCTATGGAGTTTACTGTCCAGAGTGTGGAAGATGCTGGGACAAATCTTCAAGTTGTAATGGGTGAAGGGTTATGGAAAGCGGGCAGAAAATGGAGTTGAGGCCAAGATATGATCAGCCATGATCATGCCAAATGGTGGAGCAGGCTGGAGGGGCTAAATTGCATACTCCTGCACTTAGTTCATATTAAGGAAGTGATGTCAACAAAAGTGACAGTGTTTGAAAGAAATAAAGACTTTAAAACAATTGATCTTTGTTTTGAGATTGACCATTAGTACTATTGAGGGGTGACATCTCCATATGAGCCAAGTTCATGGCACCACAAGTGGCTCTGCTGCACAGAAGGGGAGGAAAATGTGCAGCAGGGCTATAGTGTCACAGATGGTGTTTAACCTAGATAAATGTGAGGTCCTACATTTTGGTAGAGCAAATCAGGGTAAGACTGACTTACTTAATGGTAAGGTCCTGGGGAGTGTTGCCAAACAAAGAGACCGTGAGGTGCAGGTTCATAGTTCCTTGAAGTGGAGTCGACGTAGAGACAATTGTGAAGAAGGCATTTGGTACGCTTGCCTTTATTGGTCAGTGCGTTGAATATAGGCATTGGGAGGTCATGTTGCAATTGTACAGGACATTGGTTAGGCCATTTTTGGAATACAGCGTTCAATTCTGATTTCCCTGCTTCGGAAAGATGTTGTTAAACTTGAAACGGTTCAGAAAAGATTTACAAGGATATTGCCAGGGTTGGAGGGTTTGAGCTGTAGGAAGAGGCAGAATGTGCTGGGACTATTTTTCCTGGAGCGTTAGAGGCTGAGCGGTAACCTTATGTAGAGGTATATAAAATCATGAGGGCCAGTGATAGGGTAAATAGTCAAGGTCAAAAATAGAAATTACTGGGAAAGCTCAGCAGGTCTGGCAGCATCTGGAGAGAAGTCAGAGTTAACGTTTCGAGTCGAGTGACCCGTCCTCACGATCCACAGTCCTTTCAGTTTCTATTTTGAATAGTCAAGGTGTTTTCCCTGGCGTGGGGGAGTCCAAAACTAGAGGGCATAGGTTTAAGGTGAGAGGGGAAGGATTTGAAAGGGACCTAAGAGGCAACTTTTTCACATAGAGGGTAGTGCATGTATGGAATGAACTGCCAGAGGAAGTGGTGAAGGCTGGTACAATTACAACATTTAAAACGCATCTGAATGGATATATGAATAGGAAGGGTTTGGAGGGATATGGCTCAAATGCTGAGAAATGGGACTAGACTAATTTAGATATCTGGTCAGCATGGGTCAGTTGGACTGAAGGGTCTGTTTCCATGCTGTACATCTCTCTGACCCTTGATAGGGATTCAGTAGTAAGGGGTACAGACAGGCATTTCTGTGGCCACTCTCATGAATCCAGGATGGTATATTGCCTACCTGGTGTCAGGGCCAGGGTTGGGGATTTCACAGAGCAGCTGTAGGATCTTCTGAAGCGGAGGTCCAGTGGTCATGGTACACATAGGTACCAACAACATAGGTAAACAAAGGCCCTGAAAGCTGAATATAGGAAGTTAAGAGTGAAATTGAAATGCAGGACCCAAATGTAATAATCTCAGGATTACTCCCAGTACTGAGTGCCAGTGAGAACCGGGATAAAAGCATTGATCAGATGAATGTGTGTCTGGAGAAATGGTATACCAGGTAGGGCATTTACATTCTTGAGGCAAAGGGACCGTTTCTGGGGAAGTTGGAACCTGTACAAGCCTGATGGGTTGCACCTGAGCAGAGGTGGGACAAGTATCCTCGCAAGGGCTTTTGGTAATCATGTTGGAGAGGTTTTAAGCTAGTATGGCAGGAGGCTGGGAACCAAACTGTAGTCTTAGACGGGTCAGATTCAGATCAGGAAAAGGGAGGTAGAACATTAGTTAGTGATGTAGTCAGTGACTCGGAATGTCAAAAGAAACAAGGATTAAAAGCATCAAGCAAAGAAAATTGACGGAGTTGAGCTGTTTGTACTTGAGTACAAAGAGTATTACAAACAAGGCAGATGAACTAAGTGCACACATACATGGCAGTACAATGTTGTTGTTGCTAGACCAGAAACTTGGTTAAAGGTAGGGGCAAAATTGGCGACTCGATTATCCCTGCGTTTGGAGTTTTCAGGCAGGATAGAGTGGGTGACAAAAATGGAGGGGATTAGCAGTATTGGTTAAAGAATCAATTATAGTTGTGAGAAGGGGTGGTAAACTAAATGGGTTAACAATTGAGTCATTCTGAACTTAGAAATAATAAACAGGCAGTCATACTGGTAGGAATATATTACAGACAGCCCAAATAGTGAGAGGGAGATAGAAGAACATATATGTAGATAAATTTCTGCCTGTAGGAATAAGAGGGCAGTAGTTGTAGGAGACTTTAACTATCCCAATATCAACTGGATTTCAAACAATATAAGCGGTATTGGGGGTGAAAAATCCATGTACTGTGTCAAGAAAGTTTTTCTTAAACAGTATGTGTCAAGCCCAATGGGAGGAGATGAAATTCTGCAATTAGTTTTGAGAAATGAAGATGGACAAGTGAGTGAAGTGACAGTGGGTGACCATATCAGGGATAGTGACCCCAATTTGGTTAGATTTAGTCTTGTTATGGAAAAGTATAGAGATAAATCTGCAGTAAATGTTTTAAATTGGGAGAAGGCAAATTTTACAAAACTGAAGTGATCTGGTGGACTGGACAAGACTGCTAAATCAACGGTAGCCACTTGTGGGAGGCACTTTAAAGTGAGATCATTAGGACACAAAGCAGACAAAAATAAGAATGGTACTGGCAAATCAGACCCCTGTGGTTGCCTAGAAAAACACAGGGGAAGTTTAAACAGAAAGAGAAAGCTTATGATCATCACAAAAATCTCAACACTGCAAATAGCCTGGAGGGGCATTGAAAGTATTAGGATCATGTTAAAAATGAAATAGTGAAATCAAAACGAGGACACGACAAAATATTAGCAAGCAAGATGAAGGAAAACCCAAAGATGTTTTACCAGTATATAAGAAGCAAAAGGATAGTTAAGGAAAAAGAGGGACCTATCAGAGATGAAGAAGGAAACTTGTGTTACAGAGGATATGGGACAAATTTTAAAATGACTTTTATGTCTCCATATTCACAAAGAAAGGTGTGAGGTGGCTATAGTAATCCAAGAGGAGCAGTGTGAAAAATGGAACAAAATAAATCATGAGCGAGTGAGTGATCGGAGAGTTGGAATCCTTGAAAGTTGCCAGGGCCAGATGGATTGTCACCAAGAATGTTAAAGGAGTTCAGGGAGGAAGTTCAGATGCTCTGAGGATTATTTTCCGATCTTCACTAGACACAGGTCAGGTGCCAGAGGAGTAAAGGAATGCAAATATGGTTCCATCGTTTAAAAAGTGTACAAAGGAAATGTCAAACAATTATAGGCCAGTTAGTTTTTCTTCGGTGGTGGGCAAATTATTAGATTCAATCCTGAGAGGTTGGATAAGCTGTCACTTATAAAGACATGGACTAGTCAGGAGTAGTCAGCTTGGCTTTGTTAAAGGAAGATCATGCCTTACAAATTTAATAGAATTCTTTGAGGAAGTGACGAGGAGTATCTGTGAGGGTAGGGCAATAGATGTTGCCTACATGTATTTTAGTAAGGCATTTGACAAGGTTCCATGTGGCAGACTTCTCAAAAGAGAAAAAGCCCATAGGCTACAGAGTAATGTGTCAAATTGGATCCAATGTTGGCTTAGTTGCAAGAAACAGTAATGGTCGATGGCAACCCTTGCAAATGGAAAGCTGTTTCAAGTAGTGTTCAGCAGGGCTTGGTATTGGAATCCCTGCAGCTTGTCTTGCACATTAACGATTTGGACTTGAATGTGGGCATACAATTAGGGAATTTGCAGACAACTCAAATCGGCCATGTAGTGGATAGTGTAGAGGATAGCTGTAAGCTCAGAAATGATACGGATGGGTTGGTGGAGTGGGCAGGAAAGTGGCAGATAGAGTTCAACTCTGAGGGGTGTGTGGTAATGCATTTAGGGAGTTCAACATGAAGTGAGAGATCTAAACATGCAAGTGCACAGGTCACTAAAGGTAGCTGTACAGGTGGATAAGATTTGTAAAGAATGCATATTCAATGCTATTCTTCTTGCCAGAGATATGGAATACAAAAGTAGGGATGTAATGATGAAAATGAATAAGACACTGGTGAGGCTACAACTGGAGTATTGTGTTCAGTTTGGTCACCATATTACATGAAGGATGCAATTTCTCTGGAGAGAGTGTAGAGAGGATTTATGAGAATGTTGCTCAAACTGGCAAATTGTAGCTATGAAGAGAGATTGGAGAGGTTGAGGTTGTTTTCCTTGTACAAAGAAGGCTGAGGGGTGACATGATTGAAGGGTACAAAATTGTGAGGGGTAGAGGTAGAGTAGACACAAGGAACCTGTTTCCCTTGGCAGAGAATTCAAAAGTCAGGGGTCATAGATTCAAGCAAAGTGGCAGAAGGATGATTAGAGGGGATATGAGGAGAATGTTTTTAATGGAGAGAGTGGTGGGTGTCTGGAATTCGCTGTCTGAGCTGGTGATAGAGGCAGAGACCCTAAACTCTTACAAAAAGTTCCTTAAGTGCTGTAAAGCTACAGAGCAATGGGCCGTGTGCTGGAAGATGGGATCAGAAAGGATATCTGGGTGTCTTTGGGCCAATACTGACAAGATGGGCTGAATGGCCCCCTTCTGTGCTGTATCATTTTTATGGTTCTATCCTTTTGAAAGACAGAATGGTGCCAATGCTAATGTTTCATCAGGCATGTGAGCAGGAGATTTTTTTATAATTACTTCCAAACATCCTCTTGTGTACTAATTAAATTACTTCTCATCAATGAAACAGACCATTATCATTTGCTGTGTTCTAAGTACATTTTAAATATGTTGTGAACCCTATGAAGTCTCCTGTTACATTGGAGTTAGCAATTAATGCACCACAAAGTTGTCTTGAAGACATTTTATGGAAACTAAACTCTGGATAAACCTGTTGCTTAAGAATTGCTTAAGAAAAGCAACTGCATCTTGCATTGCTGATGCTGCAGGAGATTCCTCACTTTGACATGCTTGGGATTGATCCCACATGTGCTGTAACAACTGCCTGATCAAAAGTAAAAGTGAAAAGGTACATGCAATCCATCATTTAGGATGTGACGTTGTCACCTTCATATTATTTAAATTAGGATCTGTCACTGTTAATCTACCTGGGTTCATTGTTAGCTACCATATTGAGCAGTCTGGCCGCTGACTTATTGTGGAAGCTGACTATCGACTGGCGTGGTTAAAAGGAGCAGGGATATTGCAACAGAATTACTTTTTGTTCTGAATTGATACTTTAGATATTCCTTCAATATTTCTGAACAGATGGAGAAGTTTGATGTTGTAAGCTGCTTTATCCATTGTAGGTAAAATAGAGCAACGAAGAGTAATTTCATATAATTGATAACATTTCTATTCAGGTACTCTTACAAAACCAAAGAACATAAGTATTAGCATGCCAGCATGAGTCATTTAAATTAAAAGAAAACATTAAAACAGTTTTTCTGTTCCTGTCCAGTCATGGTTTGTTTCCTTTGCAACCTTTGGTTGTTCATCCTCCTTTGTGTTGCCGTTGTAAATTTTTACAAGCCTCTGTCAGCGGCTACAGTGGTGAAAACGAGGTATAGATACTGACGTGTGAGGTATTCTCCTGTATATGCAGATGCCACTCATGAATTGTCCATTGCTTATTTCTCAGAGATCCTCCTTGTATTGTCATGATTTCATTGTTATTGCTCTACTGGAATCTGAGTGTCTTTTGATGTCTCTGTGCTCAGCAATGAATGGGACGTATAGTAAAGCAATATAATATGCTTTCTATAAACTGCAGAACACAACATTCTGCAGAATGCTACAGCAAACTCTCTCTGAATTGTATAGTGCCTTCAGTGGAGGATAGTTGCATAATTCTAATTATGCCAGTAGAACCAATCCCAGTTATATAAATATGATGACTAACTGAGGAATTTCCTAATCATTTTTATTATGGCTGGGAAAAGTGATGTCATTTTTTGTGATACCTTACTGAGATAGACTCAGAATATAAGCCATATTGAAAATTAACCCCTTTTCAGCAATTTTTGTTTCGTTAGAAAAAAGCTCCTTAATCTAACTTGTGCACAAATCCTTTCTGTGAAAAACGAACAAAGGGTAAAAATATAACTTTTAGATTTGGTTTCATGGAGAATGTACAGTTTGATGAGCTGTACCGATTTCTAATTTGGCTCCTACTTTAAGCAATATCTGATTCTTTAGATGTAGATATCCTCACATTGTCACATCTTACACCTTCTGAAAGTTGTTTTTGTGGCTGCCTAATTCGCTGCAGACAAAAGAAAAAAGGATTGGATAGCTATTGGGAATAGCAGTGATGATGTGTTCTTATCGAGAGCCAGCTTGGACACAGTGGGGCAAATAGCCTCTTTCTTTGTTGTAACCGTACAATGATTTTTAGTTAAATATCTATGTTCAGTATTTTTTAAAGGCAGAATTTGTTCAACAGTGCAATATGAGCTTTTGTTTGTAATGTCCATATTGTAATAAATGTAGCATTTTAATTTGTATAACTATTCATACAAGTCAATTTAATGTGTTTAGATAAGTGTCTGTTATTTTGGATGCCTCTGTCTTTTATTAATTTCTTTCTCTTTTTGTCTTAGAACCCACTGGCTTAGTAACATTTCAGCGACAGTGTCTACATGACTTCCCTGAATGGGAAAGGTAAGGGAAGTCTACCAACCTATATTTGGGTTTAACTTTAACAGGGACATTGACTTCAGTGTATTTACCTACTGGTCAGTCATCACATTGTGCTTGAGCATTGTTTTGTTTGATATGACTGTGTTGAAAGTGATTGAGATTGTGAATAACCTATAACGTTTGTACACTTAACGCCTGCTGCCTAGTCTGCAAAGAAGACTTCATGGCTGAGGCCAAAAATTACGTTCAAACTGTCGAAGGTGAAAGTTAGCTCAGTCTATTACATTGCGTACAATTGAGTCAGATTGAATGGTTGTTACGATCCATCTCTGAGTGCTTGACGTTGAATAGGTTTTTGTAGCAATATAGTTTTAATGTTGATAAAATAGATGAAGATTTTAAAAGCAAATGCTGTGGCTGCTGGAAAACTAATGTAAACAAAAATGCTGAAAATATTCAGGTTAAACCATCTTTGTTCTGATGATAGTTTATCCACCTGAAACATTAACTGTATCTCACTGCACAATAGTTAGTTTTCCTTGGTGCTGTAGGTAAGGATCCAATATATGAATGGCTATACCTTAACACCGAAATGAAGATCCCTAAAAAGTAAGCCAATGGATTTAATGTGTTACAAGAAATTGCTTTTCTCTAAAATATTGTGCCTGTGTTAGTGCTGGATAAATGGATAGCCCTAAGCATGTATTTTTGAAGTTTATTGCAGGATAATGTAACTTAAAGTAGCCACCAAAGAGACAACGTTCCAGTCCCCCGGCACTATCAGAGTGCAGTTTGAATAGTAAAGTGCAGAGAAGATAGGTTCCTTCAAGGTTATGTTGCAAATGTGAGGTATGAAGCACAAACACTCACGTCAGCTGAAAGGCCTTCTCAAAAACCTCATACAAAGAGTCAGGTTGCTAAATAAATAAACAAGGAAAGCCAGTCAAAATCTATAAATTGATGCAGTGCATCTGATGAGGAATACTCACGTGTGTATTGAAATACTTTCCATTATATCACATTAATCTATTGGTAAAATATTTTTCTGCCTTTAGCTTGAGGGCAGCCTGCTAGTGCTTAATTTCAAGGAGGGTAGTTGCTAGTGCTATTGATAGAGATTTAAACTAATTTGTCTAAGGGGATGGGTGGAGGTACAGTAGGGGTGATGCATATACAAGTCTAGAGGAAAAGGCGAGTCAGTTTAGAAGATGAATGTATGTTGTCATGTTAAAGCATAGGGCAGCATGGCAAAGCTGGATGACATTTATTTTAATGCAAGGAATCTTGTCAGTAAGGCAGATAAGAAATTTCTGGAGAAATTCTGCAAGTCTGGCAGCATCTGTAAAGAGATAGCAGAGTTAACATTTTAGTTTCAGATCTGAAGAAGAGTAACTGGACCCGAAGCGTTAACTCTGCTTTCTCTCCAGACCTGCAGAGTTCCTCCAGCAATTTGTTTTTGTTTGAGATTTCCAACATCCACAGTTCTTTATTATATTGCAGATGAGTTGATGATCTAATGAGCACATGGGACTATGATATCATTACTATCATAGAGACATGATTGGGTGAGGGTCAGGACTGGCAACGCCACATTCTGTGGTATAGAACCTTCGTGCAAAAAGGAGGGTGTGGCTGTAGTAGAGGCAATGGTGTCGCAATATTGATCAAGGAATTCATTACTGCAATAAGGAGGAATACCTTGGATGGTTCTTCAAATGGGGTCATAAGGGTAAAACCTAAAAGCAAAAAGGGAGCAGTCACATTGCTGGGAGTGTACAATAGATCCCCAAGCAGTCAGGGAGCAATAAAAGAGCAGATATATAGGCAAGTCTCTCTAATTTTAGGGAGCAAAGTCATGCAAGTGATAAAAGTGCCAGTGAGGGGAACATTTCAGTGACGGTGACCACATCGCAGTAAGATTGAAGGTACGGGTAGTTCTCCTATAACCTGATAGTTGCGTTCTTGTGTGACCTTGCACTACAGGAAATTGCCTTGAAAATCGTTATACCTGTACAGCAGAAAGTTTGCGTTATCCAAACAGCGTCTGCTTTTCATCAATAGCATTACAGCCAATTCATGTTAACAAAACACGCATTATTGCAGAACTACCTGTAGTTGTGGGAAAGGAGAAAGATGGACCAGAAGTAAAATTTAAGAGTTTGGGGAAGATCGCTTTTATATAAGGTAGGATCTGGCATTGGTAGACTACAGGCAGCCACTTGTAGGAAAGTCTACACCAGAGCAGTGGGAGGCATTCAAAACAGAAGCGTAGTGTATGCAGGGTTGACATATTCCCATTAAGGTGAAGGGTGAGAGCAAATAATCCAGAGATGTACAGGATTCGATAAAGAAAAAAGGGAAGCTTATGGCGGCTACCAAGGGTTCAAAACAGGAGAAACAAAGAGGAGTATAGAACATTCAGGGGATTACACAAGCAAAGAGGTTGCATAAAGAAACACTGATGGGTAAAATAAATGAAAATCCATTTTATAAGCATCTTGTAAGTTTTGTAAGTACATTAGGGGTAAGAGGATAACCAAGGAAAGAGTAATGACCAAAGTGGTACTCTGTATGTGGAAATAGAAGATGTAGGAGACGTTTTAAATGAGTACTTTGCACGAGCTATATTGCACTATTCACGATAGAGATGGCCACTGTAAGTATAGAGACCTGGGAGGGTGATGTGATATGCTTGAACAAATTAGCAATGAAAGGGAAGACGTATTATCTGCTTTAGTGAGCTTTAAAGTGATTAAATAGCCAGATGCAGATGAAGTGTGTTCCAGGCTGCAGGGGTAGGCAAGGGAGGGGATTGCAGAGGTTCTGTCATTCATTTTTAAATCCTCTCTAGCCACAATAGAGGTAGCAGAGGACTGAAGGAAAGCTAATATTGTGTTTTTATTCAAGAAGCATGGCTGGGATAAACAATGAAACTATAGGCCAATGAGTCTAATATCAGTGGCAGGGAAACAATGAGAAAAAATTCTGTGGGACAGAATTAATCTCCACTTACAGAGGCAAGGATTAATCAAGATAACATGGTTTTGTTGAGGTAGATCATGTCTAAAAAATTTGCATGAATTTTTTGAGGAGACAACTAGGTGTGTAGGTTAAGGTTGTTTGGTTGATGTAGTCTACATGGACTTCAAGACTTCTGATCGGATCTTTCGTAAGAGGCTAAGAGCTCATGGGATCCAGGGCAATTTGGCAAATTGTATGCCAAATATTCTTAGTGTGATGAGACAAAGGGTAATGTTCAAAGGTTGTTTTTGTGACTGGAAGTTTGTGTCCATTGGTGTACCGCAGGATTCAGTGCTGGGTCCCTTGCTGTTTGTAGTTACATTATGGAGAGGAGCTGCTGAGTGAGCACCGTGAAGTGGGCAAACCCGCAGCAGACTTGTGTGGAACTTAGAAAGAGCAGTGACAGCGGAGGCATCCCAGAGGCAGGTGGACCGGTGGTGGAGGTGTTCCAACAAAATCAAAATGAGACATCACAGGACAACAGATAGTAATTGGGTATTTTTCTCTCCTGTTCTGGATATTGATTTACATTAAGACCTTAAGTACAGCTGCAAAACTACGCACAGACAATTAATAGTTTAGAACTTCAAAATTGAATTTCTTCACTTGATAGAGTTAAGGCGATTGGTTGTCTGACAAGAACAAGATCTTTCTAGCGTATGATTTTAAAGGAATAAGGGTTAAATGAAAGCAAGTGTTCATGATCTGTTTAGTTAAGATATATCTGGCAAGCTCAGATCCGTGATTTGCACATTCTATGCTATGTGGGAAACCCTAGATGCTCCTGACAGTTTGGATGACCGTGTGTGCAGGAAGTACCTCTGGTTGGAGCAACTCGAGCTCTGGGTTTTGGAACTCGAGCAACATTTGGGGCAGTATGGTGCATTCATGAGGCAGAGGTTCATTGACAGCCAATTTCAGGATTTAATTATCCTGCAGCATAAGGTCGTGCTGGTACAGAAAGAATGGATGGCTGAGAAACATAAGAAAGGGATCAGGCAGGTAGTGAGGGAATCACCCAAGTGCATTTCGCTGTTAAACTGTTTACACCCTTGGAAACTGATGAAAGTGATGGCTCCTCCTTGGAGGCCTGCCCGAGTCAAGGCCGTGGTACCGTGGGTGGTCCTTCTGCTTGGGGTGAGGAAAAACTATGAATAGGCAATAGCAGTTAAGGATTTGTTGATGAGGGGAGTAGATAGATACTTTTGTAATTGTAGACATGATTTCAGGATGACATGATTCTTCACAATAGCACGCTTGCTAATCTTGCACATCACTTTAATTCTATGCCTTCTTGTTGTTCCATTTACAAGCAGAAGTTTTTCCCTATCAGTTCTATCCAGCCTGTTCATGATTTTGAAAACGTCTATCACACCTCCTATCAGCAACCTTTTGTCCAAGGAGAATACTCCCAATTTCTTTAATCTAAACTCACAACTGAATTTTCTCATTGCTGGAAATACTCTTATAATTTGCTTCTGCATTCTCTCCAGTGTATTCACATCCTTCCTATAGTGGGATGTCCAGAGCTATCCACAATACTCGAGCAAAAATCTGAATTATTACAAAGAATTCTGAGGGACAGAATGTATCTGGACTTGGAGAGGTATCCAGGAGAGTTGATGAGGGTTTTGCATTTGATGTGGCCTACATGGACTTTAGCTGTGTACAGTTCTGTTGGCTACACTGTAGAAAGGATATGACTGTACTAGAGAGGGTCCTGCAGAGATTCACTGGGATGTTGCCTGGGCTAGATCGTTTCAGAAAAAGAGACTCGATTGGCTGGGGTTGTTTTCCTTAGAGCAGAGAGATTGGGAGGGGACTTGACGAAGGTGTACAAAATTGAGGGACGTAGGTTAGAGGGGACAAAGCCTTTCTCCTTACTCCGTGACAGGTGTAGATTTAAGCTGAGGGTAGGAGGTTTGGAGGTTGATTGAGGGAAAATGGTTTCACCCAAAGGATGACGATATCTGGAACTCGTTGCCTGAAAGGGGAGTCAAGGTGGGAACATTCACAAATTTTAGATATTTAGAGGAGCAATTGAAATGTCATAACATACAAGGCTGAGGTCTGTCTGCTGGAAATACGATTAGAGAGTAGATGACCAGCGTGGCTGCGGTGGGCTAAATCACTTCTTTTCATGGTATAAAACTCTGACTCTGAGATCTAAATCTCAGCTGAATAGAAAGGATTGATCCAAGCATTGATGCAGCAGTATTACAGAGAAATGGAAATTGGTCAGTGCATCAATCTGTATTATTCTCTTGTTTACAGCATTCAAGCTAGGTATGACATTAATAAAGGCTTAGGATTAAATAATTGCTACAGTTTGATGCATAAAGAATTGCAAGGAGCTTACAGAATGGGAGCAGGGAGTAACAAGTGGATTGTGATGCTGTTAATGGTTGACTTTTTAGCTTAATTTCTTCAAACATTGAAAATGGAATGCCAGCCACCTTAGTGTGGTTCTCCTCTTGCTTATGAAATAAATATCACAGTTTAATTAATCAATTTTACTAAGAACTGGAGTTTGGCTTCTTTATTTGTAGCTTATTTGTTTAAATTGGGTTTAGGCTCTTGTGGTGAAAGCAATTTACGTGTTTCGGAGATTTGCTTTAGTTACACATATAATGCACCTTTCATCCAAGAATTTGAAGTTATCACGTAGAATATTTCCAAGCAATATCATATTGCTTAGAAAGCAGCATTAACCTTGAGTTTTCAAACATTTTGACTAATTAATGTGACCTCTTCAATGCAAAGAAGAAAAAAATCATAACTAAAAATATATGCAAACACACTCATGGTCTGGGAGATGGTGTGTGATTATGGAGCTGTCATGAACATTATTTTAAAACCTGGTGCTTGACTTCATTAGATTATTGGTTATTTACTGGTTATAGTCAAATATCTGATCATTAACATGAAAAGTGATATTAGCTATCTTTGGACAGACCTTGGAAGACACTAAAATAATATAAAATGTAAAATATTATTCCTTCCACTAATTGCCTGTGAATATATTTAATTAACTACAGTAACTTAAAATAATGATCAAGCCCACTGGTGTCCATATAATTGTAAAATCAATACACTGGTTAAATTTGTTTCAAAACCTGAGTTGAAAGCTCCCCAAAAACACAATTTCATGCCATCTACTATCAGAAATCACTGGGTGAGCTCATAGAGTGAATCACATGCGATAAACTAGCATTTCCTCATTTATACAACTGTGATCTCATGTGAATGCCACCAAAACTTCCTCTAATATCACATGAAAATGTATGGTTGAAGGGTACTGAATAGCTTTTATGACTTAAATCCTATTGATTTTACTGTATTATTAAATATGTTGACTGCAATTCTAGCTTTTGAATAATTTAGGTTACTAGCAAATTTACTTGTCAGTGGTTATATTTTCCTTTATCTCAGTTGAAAGAATTAAAAGAAATAGTGATCATTTTGTCCTCCTGTCAGGGTTAACATCTACCAGTAAGGCCCTACTGTTAATTTGGGACCTAAGGGCAAATTTATTTTCATTGGTCTGGCCAGTAAATTTATTGCAGAACATTGTCCTGTGAAAATTCATACACTGAGCAATAAGAATGCTGATTGCCATGAATGTAATTGCCACGTAGGATATAAACTTTTACCAATAATTCATGAAGCTAGCACAACTCTGACAGTATGTTACGATTCAAAGTTGGAGGTTCAAGGTTCTGCAGGACTCAATTTTTCTAATTCTGACAAGCTTCCATTTTTTTTAAGTAGATGGTTTATCTCTGTTTAATTTAAACTGACTTGTTAGTTAGAATTTCATGCCTGCAGTTCAGTTGACAAATGCACAAAGTATAAATACTTGGGCTGTTAGATTTACATAGCTAAATTTTCTCATCTGTATTTAGATTTTTTTTCTTGCAAGTTTTGCTAACAAGAAGAAAATTGAGACAAATGGTAATCTGATTAGAATCTGATTTGCATGTATTACTTGAATGATGTGCTTATCTTCAGGGCAAGGCTTTTGTTACCCGTTCAGCACTGGAGGCAGGTGATGATGGGTGGTAATGTCACTGGACTAGTAGTGAAGAACACCAGGCTAAAGTTGTGACAGGAGCCTTTGTGGCACATTACTATGTGTCTTTGCCTCAGAACCAGAATTTCAAGGTTCAAGTTCAACCTGCCCTAGATAAAAACTGAAAGAACTGCCGATGCTGTAAACCAGGGACAAAAATAGGAATTGCTGGAAAAGCTCAGCAGGTCTGGCAGCATCTGTGGAGAAAAATCAGAGTTAATGTTTCGGGTTGAGTGACTCTTCGTCAACCTGCCCTTGAAGCATGTTCTGACCTGTTCAAAAATACATTTGCTGTCTGTAATTAGCTTGCCATTTTTGACAATAATAATGATTATGTTAATCATTTGAAAACACTTTTAATTATGTTTATACAATTTGTCATGTTCTTAAAGAAGAAGTAATTTCTGATTTCATGAATGTGCACTGGTAACCTTCATGAATTTTGGAAGGTATCATTTGAGATTGATAAGCAATCTATCACTGTGTTAAGAAGTTAGCAAAAAAAATATAGTTCCATTCAGAGTTAATTTACTTCTTTGCTAAAAATTGCAGTACTTATCAATAAGCAATGGGCAAGGGTGTATAGCAGTTTTAAGCCAGAATATAGATCATAGTAATTAGGTGAATATTCTAGAAGAATTCTGGAATCCGTTTTTAAAAGAGATTTGTTCGTGGGATTTTGGTGTTGCTAACTAAGCTCTCACTGTCAACCAATTATCTCCCTAACTGATCTGGAACAGAATGGTGATGGCCTTTCTCCTTGAACCCCTGCAAAGCTCAGGTTTAATTTCACCACCTTCTCTGGTGGGATTCTGGCCCATTTTCCCAGAGCATTAGCCTTAGGCTCTGCAATACCACATCAGTGGCATTACCATGATGCTACCTTCTCCCTTACATCTGATATAAATTTATAAAATACGTTATTTTCCATTTTAGGTATTCAAATGAATTAGATTTATTTAATTGTAATGTTTTGTTTTCAGGTCCACAGAGAAGCTGACCAAACTGCACATTACGTGTGAAGGAACAATTGAAGACAATGGCCGTGGCATGCTTCAGGTATGAACAGAATACAAGCTTAAAGAAAGCCATGAAAATTTGCTGATAACCAAAATTATACTGGTTATCATATTTCTTGGACTAACCAAGGGGTTTTAGTAGAGGTAATATTGCTGAATGAGTAATCCACAGCCCCCTAACTAATGTACTGGGATTATGGGTTTGAATTTCACCATAGCACGAATCAGCAAAAAAAGTCTGGAATTAAAGGCTGGTCTAATGGCATCCATGTAACCATTGTTGATTGTTGTAAATACCTAGATAATTCACTTTAGGGAAGGAAATCTGTCATCCTTACCTGGTCAGCCATGCGTGTGACTCCAGACGCACAGCAATGTTGACTTTTAACTATCCTGTGAAATTACCTAGCCAACGCAATTGGGAATAATTGTTGGTCAAGCCAGTGACACTCTCAGTCATTAAAATTCAAAAGGTTCAGGTAAAACAAAATAGTTAAAGAATGTGCTCTTTAATTGACATTTCAACATAATATAATAAATTTGGAGGATATTTAAAATACATGATTACAATTAGAAGGATTTTGCGGTGCCATATATAAACATTTCATTTTGGGATCAATTTTTCTTGCATACAAATGGGTCATTGTATTATCAAATTGTATCCAGGTATTTTGCATTTCGACATGCAAGTATTATTACAGTTTACTGAGAGACTTTGAGTCAGTGGTCAGCAAATGTAGAGGTCATGGTATTTTCTGCAGTTGTAGAAATAACAATTTGTTTTGCACCATGTCAAAATGCATACTTCTGCCATTGTATTGCATAAATATCTCATAATGTGTGTTTCCATGGTGTTTCCATTTTGATAAATGGGTCTTCTCTTATTTCCAGAGGTGAATAAAAGCAATCCAAAGCTGTATTTAGGACTCCAAGTGACAAAACTGAAAGTCTTAAATACTCAAAGAGCTGGACTTTTTGATGTGCCACAATCTTTCTCTTTTTTTTTAAGCAGCATAATCGTAACATTGAGCTGAGAAATATCCATCATCAAACCCTATTTATAAATAGTGGTTAACTTCATACACAGGCTTGTGCATTCAAGGGATATGCACGAAGTACCCACAACAACTGATAAAATTCCACAGTTAAGCAACACATTATTAAGACTTTATTAGTATTGCCTAAAGGGTTTTTGCATTGATACAAAACTTTGAGGTCAGCTGTCTCAGCTCTCAAGATTGTCATAAATATACATGTTTGTCCCAAACATTTAGCAACTTTTGTGGTGCTGCTCCACTAATAATCATATACAGGACTCCTGTAGAATTTTTGATTGAAAGTATCGCGTAGAGAGCACTTTGAATTTGAAATTGAATAACGATTCTGAGCTTTGGATCCCAAGATGCTTCTTATAACCCTTTTCTGCTTATTACATTGGCAGCAACACAGTGCACTGAGAGACTAATTTTTAAATTGACAGGATAACCTTTTCTAGGAGCATGCTGATAGATTATTAGAGCAGCCTGAATGCTGTCCAGTTGCCTGTGGCTTGTGGTCAACTTAAAGTCTACCAGCAACTGCATTAAGTGTACTGTTTGAGCTACCTTGCAAAGTTATCTGCTGAGGCAAAAATCAAAGGCTGTTGTCAACGTGACATCTTTTTTTAAAAAAAAGTGCCATATCATTCCACCATCAAGTGGCTGAAATCTTGAGGCTTAATGTTTTTATTGGGAGGAGGGGTCCGTGTAGAGAGAGATGGAATTCAGGAAGCAGCTGGTGAAATTGGTGTCTAATTCTAATAAAGCAAAGGAGATGTGCACAGTTGGAAAATGTACAGGCATGTGACACTAGTGAGTTCAACCAAATTGAGCGTATAGAAATTGCTTAACCATAAAACCCTATTGGGAGAATGTACAATCTCAATGCACCTTGGAGATTTGCTTCCTCTAAAACAAATCAAGTAGTTCTCAGTCGAGCAGGTTTTCTACAACAGTAAAAACAATGAGCTTTTAATGGTTATTGCCTTAAAAGTCTTTAGAAATTACTTTAATGTTTGATTATAATTATAGACTCATCATCCTTGAACAGCAGTTATTTCAAAGCACATGCAAAATGGTAAAGGAAATAAATAAACAAGAACAAAATTAAAGATTTGATTTAACTATTTACCTGTCTGGTTTAATATCGTGATTGAAAGTGGAAAATATGCAATTCTGCAGTTCCTGAAGGACACAGTTAGATTAGCATCTGAATAATGCAGTGCCTTTTAAAAGTGCATTCTGCATGTTGCAAATTGAAATAAATTACAGGTACATGAAGATGCTGGTGGTCATTGAAAGAGTCTGCTTTAAATCCTAGCCCTGAGGCAGCTCCTATCATTTCTCCACTTCATTTTAACATGCTTGAAGGAGCTGCAATGGCAGCTGTCATCTGGCAAGTCGGACACCAGAGCAAAGCTCTGATGGGATCATAGCCTCATCTTGGCTCTTTCATATTTTTTCTGTTGAATTTGTAAAGAGCTTTTAAAGGACTCGGTGGCTTTCAACACGATGGCATCAGAATTGATTTACAAAAGTTCAGATTTAATCTCAGAAGTCTGGTTTGGCCAATTAACCCTTACGATTTTAAAATTACAGACTTTATTGATTTGGTATTCAGTACGAGGACATATTTCTTTTTAATGCCGTTTCTTCAGAATGGCATACTTGTGTTCATGATAGTAGCAATGTCATAACATCTTCAATCTTGATCTTAGTGTGCAGCCCTTCCCACCCCACAGGTTCCCAAGCTCATTTGTGCCACATATTTTTGTGTCTTTTTAGGTGTGAAAACCTATGCATTAGGATGCAAAATAAAATAAGCAAAATTCCAGAGTTAATTTGCAGTCCGTTGAACATAATATCTAATTCTGTACAAATGTGAGGTGATGCAAATTATACAGTAAATGGCAGAACCCTTAGGAGGATTGACATACGGAGGGATCTGGGCGTACAGGACCACAGGTCCTGAAAATGGCAACACAGGTGGATAAGATGGTCAAGAAGGCATACAGCGTGCTTGCATTCCTCAGTTGGGGCATTGAATATAAAAGTTGGCAAGTTATGTTACAGCTGTACAAAACTTTAGTTAGGCCACATTTGGAATATTGCATGCAGTTCTGGTCACCACACTACCACATGGATGTTTTGGAGAGGGTGCGCAGGTTTACCAGGATGTTGCCTGGTCTGGACGGTTTTACTTATGAGAAGAGATTAGACAAACTCTGATTGCTTTCACTGGAAAGACTGATAGAGGACTACAAAATTGAAAGGCATGGATGGAGTGGATAGTCAGAGGCTTTATACCAGGGCGGAAAAGTCCGCAATAACAGGGCACAGGTTCAAGGTGAGAGAGGGAAAGTTGAGGAGAGAAGTGCAGGGAAACTTTTTCAGAGGGATATGGGTGCCTGGAATGCACTGACAGTGGAGATGGTGGAAGCAGGCACATTTAAGGCATATTTTGAATGACCCGTGAACGGGAGATGTACAGAGGGATAGAAACTGTGCATTGGCAATAAGTAGCAGGTCTAAATAAGCATTAGAATTGGAGCAGACTTGGTGTACCGAAGGGGCCATTCCTGTCATGTACTCAATTGTATTATATTGTATAATTGTGCAGCTTTTTTAATGCATTTTGAGGAATTGTTTCTCCTTATTCCCAAAAGGTAATGATGGTTGCTAGGGTATATTTGTCATGTAGCCCTTTTTACAAATCCCTTCACAAAAATTTGTTATTAGCGACGAAAATTGGAAATCTTCCAAAACAATACTGAAGTTCCATTGAATATCATATTAGAGATGTGTGGTGAGCTTGAAGTAAACAAGACAAATAGTCTTTTTGCAGGAAATAGTTGAATTCTGCTTTTTATTAATTTGGTTCAAACTTGTTCAATATATAATGCTGTTCACAGTATATGTCTGTGTATTAAAAAAAACTATGGTTTCTAGTACTCATTCTAAAAAAAAATTTAAATGTTTTATTTAACCTATTTTTCTAAGCAATCTGTTCAGAGTTGTTAATACACATCTCTGGAACAGGTGGGACTTGAACCCAATCCTCCTGATCCAGTGGTAGGGACACCACCACTGCACCACAAGAGAGTCTCCAAAATAAGAGTTGGGAGATTTGAATGACATCTCCAGGAGCCACAAGTGCCCCCTTACAGCTGTAATGGGAACACAGAAATAACAGAGAATGGCTTCAATCCATCGACGTTTGGGTTACGGGCTCTCACTGTGCCATTCTGCTGCTGCTATCACTTGTTCGATCAATTGTAGGAGCGAGGTAGAAATGCTGGTAATTTACTTGAAATATTGAAACAATTTTACTGGTTTTGAAATCTTTCTACAATGATTGACTGTTTCATGAAGTATTTTGCCACTGTGCCACTTCCTTACTCTCTGTATAATTAGCTGATGGACCTGTCCCCAAATCTCTGCTGATGTTTCTCAGAAACCTAGGAATACTAATGGTTCATGATGACTCCAGAAAAATGCGACTGTTAATGTTAGTTTGTTGTACTAACCAAATTATGTATTGAATGTGTTTCACGGAAGGGTACCAGCGATTTAACTATTGAGTACAAATTGTGCTAAATAGTCCTTTTAATGCAGTAATCTGTGTGTACACTCCTAATTATCATATTCTGGTTTGAGTTGTTAATGTGCAAATAGCCAACTTAATTATGTTTTAATGTACATATTTTACATGAAATGTAGGCTTGTATCTATCAAAAAGGAAATCTATGAAATAAGGGTACTTGCCTTTCTTATTTGATCAGATTAAGCAATAGAGTAAAATCTATTTTTATTGATTCATATAAATATTAGTAAATATGCTAATTAAAGGTCACATAAATTGCTTGAAACTTAACTTAGTGCTGCACCTGTCTCTCAACACATGTGAATTCTACCAGTACATAATATTTAGTTTTCTGCATATATGTATAAAATCTGTTTTGGTATTTTGTTTACAACATATTTTTTAGATTTTTTTTTGCCATGTATATCCAATCTATGAAAAACAAAATGATAATACTTGAATTGTAGGATGTGTGATCAATTAAGGAGGTTACAAAATATTTCTAGAGATTAATTAAGTTAATTTATGATTGCACTACTTAAAGCAATTAAGTTTTATATAGAAATATTAAGATTCATTGAAAGGGCTACTCCTGGGAAGGATTTTAGTAAATTTCGAACTATCCATTGGAGTTAACTGCAGGTTGAGGTGAAGAGATCCAGCAAACCAGAAATTCAACACATTAGGGCAAAAAGTAAATTAAGTTAAATCAACATTGCAGTGTATATAATTAAAACTAATTAGCTGTCATTTTGTGCTGATTTATGTTTCTTACTGATGATTAATCTAGCATTTATAAAAAATTTGCAACGGTTCATTAAGTTTTCAGCTGAACTGTGTTTCTCAACTAGACTCTGCTGTCTGATGAGCAGATCAGCAAAGGTAAGGTGATTCTAAGTGGGACCATTTTCTGTTGGCCTATGCCATTCCAGTTACTAAAAGGTGCCGTGTTCCTCCAGGAGAAAATAAAATTAAATATTAAGCACAAATAATGTTGTTTGAATTTTGCCATTTTGAACTTAAAACCAAACATGGAATTTTATCGCCAAGTGTAATACTATTGTCATTGTAAAGATTTGCATGCTTCCTGTCCTTGCCCTCACTTCAGCCTAGAAAATGGTTTCACTTTCAAAAACCCATCAGGCGAGCAGCATCTCACAATTAAAAGACTGTGTGCTTTTCTAACACTTGCAGCCCACTCTTGATATGAACTCAGTACATGCATGCCTGGGTTTGTAGGAAATGAGAATTTGTTATAGTCATAATATCTAATGAAGGTGTAAAAATACAATAGCAAGATGCCCATTCAAATGTCATGACCTGGTTTTAATCCCTAAATTTAAACAAAAACTGTGCTTTCAGGTTGACTTTGCAAACAAAAGTGTTGGAGGTGGTGTCACACGTGCTGGCCTTGTCCAGGAAGAAATCCGTTTTTTGATAAACCCTGAACTCATTGTTTCACGGCTATTTACAGAGGCTCTGGATGACAATGAGTGTCTCATCGTTACAGGTTTGTTTTCTTTCTTGCTTTTTCTTAGCCCAATATTTTGAAGGTTGAAAACTTTATAAGAAATTCTGGATTAGCTATTAGATGAAGTATAAAGGTATTTTAAACTATTGAAAATTCTTCACTTCTGGATAATTACAATTGAATATAACCAATATTGTAGAAACCTGTTTTCAAAAAGAATCTATGAATTTATTTTAGTTTATTGTTTTTGAGTAAAGTTGTGCACTGCTGAAGGTTTAAGGAAATTGATTGTTTTCCCTTCTGAGGACATTCTTGAGGATCATTGTGCTATACTTAAACAATTCTGAAAGTTACATTTTCTGTCTGACATTACTGACTACATAATGAGTTTCTTTTTTAAATTCTATTTCTGCAGTGTTCAAGAATCTTTGCTGTATGTTTGCACGTGGTTTTATGATTAATATATATTTATAAACTGTACATATTTTGAGAAAAATATATGTAATAGATTCACTTGTATATTTATTTGACTTTGTTTTTTGATTTACATTTGTTTTCAAATTGTTAAGTACCTGATCGGCTGCCAACTAACAACCTACTTTCTAATATTTTTCCCCACAACTTGGAGAAGACCTATAATAATAGGAATGAAATGATTCCACATTACCTTCTCTGTCACAAAGATTGGAAGTTGTCTTAAATCTAGAAGTGTTTTTAAAAAAAAGAGTCAAATTGATCCTGCTGTGCACTGAGAAAATATCAGTTCTTGAAAATAATCCCGATTATTTTCACAAGAGCACGAATGCATATCTTTAAAACCAGAGCAACTCCTTAGAAAACCAGAAAAAGCTATTTTGGCACACTGGTTGGTTTCAGTAAGAGGCAGTTTTTTTTCCTGCCAAATTACTGTCCAGTCTTTTATCTGTGTAAACAGGTAATGAGTTGATTTTTGTGAATAAATCACTGCAACATTGGCTGACAAGATAGGTACCTAAAGCTCATTTTTTATGGGTTATTCCCTGGAGGCTTCAAAACTGGCTGGCTGTTACTTTCAATGTTGAGTGAAGCAATGTACCTGAGGTTGATGCTATGATTAGTCATCATTAAGTGACCAGTTTTTCCTGGGTAGGCTTGTTTTCGTACAGCTTCTAGCAGTCAGTTATATCCTGCTGATTAGAGAATCCTATTTGGTACTTAATCTGATAAATTCAAATATGCTTCCAATTAGATGTTGAATTTTGTAGAAACTGAACAGAGTGATAAAAGTCAGTAAGGTACCTGTTGCATACATTAAGCGATGCATTGCAATGAACAGACCACTTAAAATTGACAATAGGCTCTATGGGTGAGCATTTGAACCAACTGTTGTCAATCCCAACAAAGCCTCTTAAAACACTGTTTGGCAAGTTGCAGGTTTTATCAACAATTAATGAAAGCAGTACCATCTGGATGATAAAGCAGCCAATTAGTAACTTTCTGACATTTGATATCATGAAAATATTACAGATATAAAGGTTATGCAGCATATCCATTTGAGAATTTAAGTAAATGCATCATATGGTTTTGTCAAATTATTCAAAAAGAATAATCTCTACAGCTAGACACAGAGTGGCCAATGCCACAGGGCAGTAAATCACTTGTAACCTGTCTGCTCATTGAGATTTGTTAATTTATACTATGAATTAGTTAAAAGCTAGGTTTCCAATCTTTGCAAAACATTGACTGCCAGTCAGGTGGAGGGCAAGTGTTGATTTTCGGGGTTCGTGCTCACGGTTACCTAATATAGGCAGACAACAATTTGCAAATAATTTTATGATAGTTTATTGAGTTTGCAAAGAAGCAACAGTTTAGTACGGTACATTCTTTAATTAGATAAAGGAAGTATACAACCGTGACTAGAACCGATACCAGAAGACAAGTAAGGCTGTCAGTTTGGAATGATTGTCTCATTAAAGTCGTGAGGATAGCATCTTGCTCTGTAGCCGAGATGTTAGGGAACTCTTCCCTTAGTCTTCCTCCGCTTCTTGCTGATCTGTCTTCCTCCTACCTGGTGAGAACTGCCCAGTGGGAACTGTTGCCTCCATGGTTTGCTTGATGAGAACTTCTCTCTGCCCCAAGCAATTATTGTAAAGGGGCAGGTTATTTTCTGTGTCAGTCAGCTGTCTGAACCTTTTTGGCCAATGACAATCGGACAGCTGCTCATGAATCAGGTGATCATTGTCCCCTTGCCCGCCTTCATCTGAGGATTAGTTTACCATTCTTTCAAATTCTTTTTATTAGCGTATTGTTTTCAGTGTATTTGGCAACTCATAGATTGTTGATGCAAGTTCAATGAGCATCATGACCTCCATGTTTCTCGCAATTCTTTCCTTTGTTTTAATATGTTGAACTTTGGAAGGTTAAGTAATGCTGTAATCTCTGTTGAATGAAATGCCGTACTATTTAGTAAATGCTAGGAAAGTTCAGTTTTTAAGGGACCCAAATATTCAACAGCAAAGGGGAGTAGAGGTGGCTGCTGAGACTTACAGTTAATCAATTTCCACAGTGATATGTTGTAAAACACCTCCTTGAAGTATCCTGAATCCTGCATCCTCAGTATGTCTCTACCATTCATTGCTAGTTTAAACAGATCAACATCTGGCTGCAAAGCATAGTTTTGGATTTTTTTTATCTAGAGTACTGTATACATTACTATAAATATCAACCACATTCACAGATGTTGGAGTATGCACCCCCATTCCTCATGATGACATTTTTACCTTGCTTTAAATAAATAATTAGTATGCTAGTTTAATTGATCACAGAACAGAATTTTCTGAAAAAGTGTTATTAATTCTTAAGTAAGATTTGATTAGTTAAATTTTAACTAATGAGAAAATATAGATAAATTGACAAGAATGCTTCATGTATGTGATATTTCAGGAGCAAATTAAGATCTACTAAATTTCAAGTAGATTAAACTTTAGGAAAAAGGTATGGACTCGACATTAGAATTCTGCAAAACACTCAGTGTGGGTTTTCAAATTGGAGTTGTGACTCGATAGTTCTTGTGAAGCTACTGTATAAAATACTGTAAGATCCTAATTATTGCATGGATGAATATTAGAAGGAACAAAATTCGTAAACCTCATGCAACCTGTTCAACCTGCTGCATTAAAATATTACAAAACCTTGTTTAATTGACACACAAGTGCATGATAGTTATCTTTCCCTGATATATGACAACAATATTTGCTTGTTGGAGTAAATATTCTTTTAATCTATAGCACTAATTGGTTCAATAATTTGAAATGATAGGATTTGGCCTGTCATGTCTGTGCCTGTTCTCTACAAGAGGGACTGATAGCTAGAGCTATCCATACAAGCAGGATGTCTCCTTTGGGGAACGAGGCTCAGCATTCCAGCACAGCTAAGGAAATGTTAAACATGAAGATCACTGTGGTGTTATTAAAATAAGGGTGAAGGTGAGAAGCTATTTTTGTGACCAGGACTTAGCTCTGAAATTGAGGAGAAGGCAAAAATATGGACAATTTTTGCAAGAGTTCACAACCTACCTCCATTAATACAATTGCACTCATGGGAATAGCTGGGAAGGCCATGGCAAAAAATGTATATTGACTATGCTTGTCCTCTTGAATGCTGAATGTTTTTCGTGGTGGTTGGCGCATAACTAAATAGCCTGAAGTTGCCATCATGAAGACGACCTCTTCAGAGAAAACCATTGAAAGACTGGGGAGGATCTTTGTGATGTTTGGTTATCCATAGTTTATTAGTGATAATGGTCACAGTTTATATCACAAGAGTTTAAGGCTGTCAAAAGCAGAATGGTATTCAACATACTCAATCAGCTCCTTATCACCCAGCCACAAATGGTTTGGTGGAAAGATTTGATCAGACAGTGAAATATTCCTTAAGGTTAACCCATGAACAAGGGTCCATGTCCAGAAGATTGTCGGAATACTTGGTAAGTTACCGAGCACAACCCACTCAAAGACTCAAAGGTCTCAGACGCTGCTCATGGTAAAGCATCAGTTGCACACAGCATTTGATTTGCTGAAACCACCCATGACAAAACATATTATTGATGGAAAACAATAGAAGAACAAAGCCAAGTGCTGTGTTTTCCAAAAACGTCACAAGTGTTAGCATGGAATTATAGCACTGATGAAAAGTGGGATCCAGCCATCATTATGACACAAACTGGACTGGTTTCCTATGCCATTACAGATGAGAGACAATGGAGATGACCTGCAGATCAGCTCTTGGCAAACAAGAAGGCGATGGTCTTGTGGTATTATCGCTAGACTGTTAATCTAGAGACTTAGATAATGTTCTGGTGACCCAGGTTTGAATCCCACCATGGCAGATAGTGGAATTTGAATTCAATTTTTTTAAAAATCTGGAATTAAGAATCTACTGATGACCATGAAATCATTGTCGATTGTTGAAAAAACCCATTTGGTTGACTGATATCTTTCAGAGAAGGAAATCTGCCATCCTCACCTGTCTGGCCTACATGTGACTCCAGGCACACAGCAGTGTGATTGGCACTTAATTGCCCTCTGAAATGGCCTAGCAAGCCATTCAGTTGTACCAATCGCTACAGAGTCTCAAATCAATGAAACCAGGTGGATCACCTGGCATTGACCTCGGCATCAGAAAGGGCAACGGCAGAAACAGCCCTGTTGACCCTGCAAAGTTCTCCTCACTAACGTCTGGGGCTAGTGTCAAAATTGAGGGAGCAGTCTCTCAGACTAGTCAAGCAATGGCCTGACATAGTCATACTGTCAGAATCATACCTTACAGGCAATGACCTAGACATCACTGTCACCATTCCTGGATATGTCCTGTCTCACCAGCAGGACAAACCCAGCAGAGTTGGCATATAGTCAGGAGGGAGTTGCCCTAGGAGTCCTCAACATTGACTCCGGATCGCATGAAGTCCCATGGCTTCAGGTTAAACACAGTTGAGGAAACCTCCTGCTGATTACCAAATACCATCCTCCTTCGACTGATGAATCGGTACTCATCAATGTTGA